AAGCCAGCCAGTTACGGTCGTAATTTTGAATCCAGGACATTGTTTAGTCTCTCCAAGATGATGCGGTTTAATATTTTGCTTGGGGTGGACAGGGATAGGAGCATGATTCCTCGCTAGTTCTTGCAAAGACTTAGGTCTCCCTTCTTTGCGAGTTTGATAAGGTAGCCCTTCTTCCAATCAATAGGCAGGTACCTTTCCCTCCTTCCTTCCAAACCTTCTGCAATGGTAGTGTGTGCATGTCCACTGATGTCTCTGGACATGTTTCCAGTGCCTCTGGCGGAATTCCATTTGGTCCCGCTGTTTTCCCCAATTTCAGCAGTTTGATGACGTTCAGTACTTCACTTCTCTCTTTGTCGGAAGATTCGTGTTCACTGAAGATTCTGTGGCTAGGCTGCTAGTGGCATTTTTGAACGATTTGCAGTTGGTAGTAGTAGTCGATCCAAGAGTTTTTGAAGCCGTCAGCTAATCGATTCCTTCACCATTTTTCATTAGTCTCATCTCAGTTGATCTCTTCCCGGATAGTAACCAGGTTATTCGATACAATGTTATCAGGTCTCTCCTACCAGCAGCCTGTTCTGTTTCACTTGCCCGTGTGTCGTAGAAGCGTCTTTTGTCTATCCGCAAACTCTTCTTCACTTCTTTGTCCAGTGCAGTATTTATAGACTGTAGCCAGTTCCTCTTTTCGTTGTTCATCCATGCACTGCACTGGTCAGTCTCCCGCTTCACCATCCTACTCTCCCTGCTCTGTGTGTCCACGTGTCCATCGAGATCCATTCCTTGTCTTCTGGCTTCTTCATTCCCAATACGGTTTGACAAGTTTCATTCCACATCACTTTCACACAGTTCAGGTGTTCTTCCACACAGGTTTCTTCAGGAGTGTCGGTCAATCTCTACCATCTTGTCATGATGGCTGACGTGAACATGTCCTTTGAAGTTTCGTCCTTCAGTTCAGTTTCTGTTCTGGGTGGTTGTTCAACTTGAACTCTGTTCTATCACCAACTTCTTTGAAGGCTTTCAACTTGATTTCCAAGGTAGGTTCCTTGCACTAGATAGATAGTCAGTGGTGTGAACTCACATCTGCTCCTGCTCGTTATCCGATCTTGTGTCCGTCCAGTAGGCTGCATCTCCACTTTCTTCACATTGAAATGAAGTCAATCTGAGTTTCACTGTGTCTGTTGTCTTGTAAAATCCATGTTGTTGACTTGTGAATATCCTTGTGTTTGTACACACTGCCTCACCTCCAATCACCAACTCGTTGAATGCACAGAATTCTGCAAACAACTCTCCATTCTCACTCACTTCACCGAGTGCTTCTCGACCTATGACGAGTTCTCTTCCTGTGTTGTCCCCTCCCAGTTTCGCATTCATGTCACCTCACCCATTAGAATTTTGACGTCGCCAACTGCAGTGAGGTGTTGTCCAGTGTTGATTGAAGTTGTCTGTAGAATTCCTCCTTCTTCTCTTCATCTGAATTATCTGTAGGTGCACAGCGTAGCATTGTACGATTGTGACTCTCCTTCCTTTTGAGTTGAATCTTGTTGTCATGATCCTGATCCCACGGGAGGAGATTGGTTCCCACTGTATGAGAGAGAGCCTTCGATGCTGTTGGGGACATCTCGATAGCCACTCCATAATTCAGTGTGCTTGTGGTTGTCGTCTGGGTGACAATACCGGAGTAGATAATTGACTCTCCAGTTGACAGTTTCGAGAGTCCACTTCCATTCCATCTGCTTTCGCAGATTCCCGACACTTCTATCCTATACCAACTCCTTTCGTTTGCAATCTGGGCAGCCATGCCAGCCAGCTTCAAACATTGTCTGGGCATTCCATGTGCCCCGGTTTACTTTCGCTTTCATCGAGGGGGAGAAGACACATCGACCAATTGGCTTCGCGAAGGCTTTCACCAACTGGCGTCATTTTGTTTCTTTGATTCCAGGGAATAATTTCATGTTCTAAATTTTTTTATGACTGAATATATCACTGATAATCCTGAATTCAATTCAGCCTACCACAAGATCGACTTATAACAACAAATTTAAAAGGAATCACTCAACAATACTGAGCAGCAACACAGTGTTATATTTGTACATCTTTAATTAATAAGCTTCAACCACGTGTTGCTTGCTTATTCGAATTCTTTTCTGATTTGTTATGATTGTATGTTTATTCATTATGTTACGAGCTGTTGCAACTCGAACTGCTGCACTCTAGTACGAGTTAATGTTAAGATCTCACTTCCTACTACCGTCATCTTAACTGCACTAATATGACAATAAAAGTTGAATATAAATTCATAACCCTAGGTAGTCAAATTCGAAATCTTCTAGTCAATTCATTTTGCAGTAAATTTCTTGGTGTATCGTTTTTTCAAATACAACACAAGTTGTTCAACCACATGTTACTCAGAAAGAGTACTTCAGGATAGTAATCCCTAGAAAATAGTCACAATCACCGAATAATGATGGTGCCATCATGCCCAATCTCAATTTACAACGTAAAAATGTTGTATTTGCATTTGTTGATCTCCTGTGCAGAGAAACATAGGACTCATTCTACTGAGTGAAGATTCTCCTTTGATTTTTTGGTCGAATTTTCTAAGAACCTGAATAACTCCTACTTAAGCTTCACTGTTCATATAAAAAGTAGGGTTTCCGGGCATTATGGAAAATCTTTGACAATTGTGATTTAAATCTCCGGTGTGCACACTTCAGTTGACTTTTATGCACATAATACTGACCACCAAACGATACATCTAAGTGTTTCAAAACCACTATACTTCGCAAACCACCAAATTCGAATGATCGATACCTTCTAAAATGGCTTGACCAGTTGTATAGTAGCGCGTGCTATGTACAAGTTAAAATCGCTTCGCATAATATATCCCCCCACTTTTTTCCACAAATACTACTGACCGTATGATGAATCATCCTGGACACAATTTGTCCGGTGACAAAACAAGAGATATTTTGCAGCACGAGAGGTTATGAAAAACTACTTTTATGAATCCGACTACCCTTGAGTGACTGTTATCCCCTTTCTGAGCTATAACCAGATTCTGCAATGGATGAATCACTATTGTACTTGACTGGACACACCTATGCAAGTAATCAGACCCCAGGTCATGACTAACTAGTCGTTAGATACAAACACTGAATAATGGTCCAAGTTGCCATATCTCATATTAAGATGGGAAGCAGCAGAACGAAAGACAATATAGAGTCAAAGCCGTAGGAAGTCATAAGAAGAGGTCAAACAATAACGAAGTATGATTTAACAATCAAGATGAAAATACATCGCCAATACGATCAATTCTGGGCAATATAACCTAGTTTCCAACTCATAATTCAGTTATAATAGAGACTTCGATATGGAAGTCTTCATTCTCCTACACGGATCCGATAAGCAGTTAAAAAAATACATGAAACCAGCGATAAAAATTGACAACACCACTAAGTGACTTGCCTCTTTTGCCCAGAATACTACGTGACTGACACGACTCACGGCTAGTGATACGAAGGCAGCAGCTGCTGAACACCTGAACCCTTCCATCTCAAAATGACAGGTTTCAGAGCTGAAAAGTGGAACAGAGTAAGTAAATGGATATCTAATCAGCAAAAAGTGTCGTAAGTTAGAAAAAGTCAGTTGGACCTTTTGCGTCCCAATGGAGATTTTATCGGTCACCGATACGTCGAGGTGGATCCTTCTTCTTATGTAAGGGGAGCAGTCAATGCGCTCAACCACTTCGTCAACTACCCTCGGATGAAATTTTGATAGAATTAACCTAAAAATGGTTTGAATTTCGGTAGTGAGAAGCATGTACGTAACATTCTTACTTATTTACTCAGAAGACTTCAAATTGTCAGCGCCCTCTGAAATGCGATTGCTGTGTACCCTGGGTCAACCAAAGTCCCTCGTAACGAGTTCAAATGAGAGAGAGACGTCAATGAGCACATCCATGATAAAGTTAAACGCGAATGAACAGACTATTCAACATACATAACTCAAATGACACCACTCACACCCATAGGTATTCGGATTTAAAGCCTTCAGTAGAGTAATGCGCTCTTACGGTACCTCCTTGAGTGAGTGACAACCACTAAACATATCAATCAGTCGGTTGCTGTCTCCAGTTTCACATGTAGTGTTGGGCACCGGTGAACGTGCCCGTAGCCCAAGATTGGAGGAGGGTGAGAATTTGGTCGATAAAAATTATGTTCTAAAACCTTCTGGTCCTAGGGCCTGCTATTTCAAGCTTTAGCATGGGCATCTAACGAATACGAACACAAAACACCACTTTCATCAGCTCAGCCGCTGTGACTGCCAAAGAGGATTTTCCATCTTCCTTTAAAACTGCGATAATGAGCGTTTGAGACTATCCAGAGGATGATAACTGACAATAAATAATGACTGAGCATAAGGAAAGGTCACATATGATTCCTGTACAGGGAAACTATTGGTTACAAGGATCCCTGCGAGAAATTATTTTTGGCAGAGCAATAGTATAAGTCTCAAGATATCATTTATTTGCTGAAGTCAACCCAACAGGAAGTTATTCATACTCTGGCGAATTATGTTTCTTACTGGATTTAAGCTTAGTAAACAAGCAGCAACCAAACTGATGAAAACCCTACAATTCTTAAGAAGATGATGGTAAGCTAACTCTACACTGCAAAATTCCATCTGATTTAAACTCAAACTTTTAATTTGTCTCAGAGTGGTGGCCATTGATAGACGAAACTATGTTAGCCAAACATTAAGGAGTAATGATACTAATTCTGACTACCCGTTAAAATCAGCGGAATCATTTGAGAAATAGTATGCAATGAAATTCCCTACAAATAATGACTACGAAACAATCTTTGTATATGTCATTAAAAACAAGTCATTAAGTGGTGAAAGAACTCTTTGAATATTTACATTACAAAGTTTACAGCTCTGAGGAGTACAAATCAGTTTTATTTACAGTGTAGGGTGCATCCATAATATGAGCGTAAATTATTTTAATGTGGTTGTGTGGTTGATTCTGTGCTAGCAGACATACGTTCAGTAATAAACGGGTGCTGCAAAGCTTCGTTTAAGGAAATGCGTCGAGTAGGATCCAACATCAAAGCCTTTTCTAAAAGATCTCGAAACTGCGTTACTTTGCGGAAGATTGGTTCACTCAACTTGGACTGACCGATAAGATCTGTCATCAAATCTCTTGTTGGCTGTAAATTGCGAACAACTGTCGTTTTCTCCTGCGATATAATAAGCAATATGCAGGTTATCAACAAAGCACATGATAAATATTCAGTCAACTGTCTTGATTATTTAGAGAAGCTAGTAATTCAACATTAAAAATAACTTTAATGAAATGTGAACAATTTGAAATCATAGGAGATTAACGATTAAAACCATACGCAATATGTAGAAATGGCACTCAGAAAAACCATATCACATACTCATGATTCCACAAGAATAAAACCAGCGAAGCACAAAAAATTCACGAGAGTAATGTAAAACCACTGCTACGACCAAGCTATAGTGAGATATGATTCCTAAACAGACATTACAAACTCGGATCAAGTTTTCTCTAAACTCATTCACAGTTACTTCAGTACAAGAACTTGCAAGTAGTAGTATTAGCTTACACTAATAATCATGCATCTGATGATTTTAAGTTTTACTTTATAGGGATTCCATAGATTGCAGCTAAAACTATAAATATAACTCTATATATTCATTATATTTTGGTTTGCAGCTTCAGATCACCCCTAGGACCATCAACATAACTTTAATAATCCCCTCTTCGATACACTGTTCATAAGGTATTATCGTTTGGCTAACAGGTAATCTATTCCATCTATCGAAATGCTTTCGTAAGAATATGCACAATACAATATCTACCAAGGAAGCTTAAATTAGTGTCTTTTCACTAGCATTCCTTTCAAAAGTGGGCAACCGTCAGTTTCATAGGATACCCACTGCAGGTAAAACACTGTCCGATCGGCATTTCTACATCGGCTTTCTACATCACTAGAGTCAAAAAAGAGGAATACAACTGTAAAAAGAAGCCAGTTGTTCCAAAACCGGGATTCAAGGGTGATCATATTGTAGTGGGCGTTGATGATAACAATGGATGTAAGTAGTATATACCGAGAGGGTGGCAGGAATCATACGGAATTACCGGCGATGGGTAAGGTTTTTGCCAAGAGCAACGCAAGGGATAACAGGTGTATTACAGTGGATGCTGCTGATAAGAGTGTATGAAGAGCAGATCAAGAGAAGAACAGAAGAGGAAAGAAGTACATTTGCAAATGACTGGGTTAGTGCAAGGTGTACCATATGTATTGACTACCGTCCCAATTGTTCACGACAAACATTCTTTCGTCGTGTTTGTCTTCTGTTTCTTCAATATGATAGAAATCAATAAGTGGATAAGTAGCACGCCATCTAGCACCTTTTCATCTGCAAAATTTGCCCGTTTCATTAAACGTCGTATTCGATTACATAGTCAAAGTCAGACCAGTTCCTGACTCTCGTTTAGCTCGAGCATATTTATTAGTTCATACACACATGCGACAAGTATATAAGGACGTAAAGATGGTTTTCTACCGGGATTTTTGAACATGTACCCAAGAGTCTACACCTAAGATAATCTCCTTCATTTAGCAGTACGATGGTCACCTTGTTGATACAGGGCGTCATGTCAACACATCAAAATCCTTCATAGTGGTGAACAAATAAAGGACTTCACACCTACACCCAGTTAATGAAAGAGTTGATATCCGAAGAATTCGGCCCACATTATGTATTAAAAAGGAGACAGTTGGAGGTTTGTTACTAATCAAGTAATCAGTGTCTCTGTCCTTTTGTCTTTACCGTAATTTTAGTACATTTACTTTATGTTCACTCCCATTCACAATAGATATTGCTTTACTAATACTACATTGCTGTCACTATAATTTTACATTTTGCTTGGTTTCGCTTCAAATAAAATCCAATCTTACGTAACCGATTCAGTAATATTCCTCGCTCTCTTCTATATAACATTTCTTTGGTCAATCCTGACTGAATTTCATTATTTTAGCTTCTTTCGTATTGTGTTTATTCTGATCTTCAAAACATTAACTGGTATTTTAAGACCCTTAAAAAAGTGGAACTGTCTAATGTGTCTTGACACAACTCCCAGCTAGTTGAGTCGAACTTTGTTCTGCCTATCGGGGGTTGGATAACCAGATAGTACCATTGGTCTTCAAACAATAGGTGTGGCTCATTGCCCACTGCACGGGCGTGCATCCATCCGGTCGCTGAGTGCATTTTGACTTTCATCCTTAAATGTTACAGTGATTTACTTTTTCGCTCAAGTTGTGGGAAGATAAAGAAAACCCTATGCGATAAAATTACGTCATGTTATCCTTTAAATGTCGTTCTCGTACATGAGTTTGTTCCGATAATCGATACATTGATTTCCTTTTCGTGAACACTGTCATACACACTCAAAATTGACAACATTTGTTAACTGTTTAATTTTTCTCTACAGTGGTTTTTTAGGCCAATATACTTGCCAATTACTTTATCAAGTGCGATGGAATCTCCATGGGCAGCTTACAAGAACATGTATTTGCAGATTAAGCTACAAATCTCCACTCTACTCCAACACAAACCGTTTTCTGCTGTCAATGTGAACAATCACTAATCATCACTTCCAAATAGCGGTGGGTTACTATTCCAATGCAACATCTGCAAAAGTTTAACAGGTTTGTAACGCATTTAAGCAGTGAAATATTGCGCTTTTTTGAAGGAATTATTAGTCCCCGAGAGAAAAATAGTGTAAACCAACAGTTCTAGTGAAATAGTAATATATTTCAATTTTTACGAATCAGTCAGTCAGTTTCATATTCACTTGTTACAGTTACTAAGGCATGCGTCAAACTCTACGAACTAATCAAACCAAACGAATTCTACAAAACTGGAGTTTATCCAACTGCCTCTAATGTCTTAGTAATATAAAAAGATTATCCAAATCATATAATGGTACTTTTTGCACATGGTGAAAGCCCCATCAGTGGAACTAAAACAAAAGTGAAATACACAATACAACGGTAATATTTATAAATACCGATGCATGTACCAAATTAGCAAACCTTTTGTGTTACTTTGTCCACTTCATGATAGAGGAAGTTGCACTGTTCATCAAAATGTTGAGTGCGAAACATCCCACGACGAATTACACGACCCGGGATACGTCCTTTTACCTCCATCATCAAACGCAACATCTCATTGTTAGTTTTTCCCGGGAACATAATTTGTCCAGTATGTAGTTCAAATAGAGTTACACTGGTAGACCACAAATCAACATTGTAGTCATAAGGAACACCTAAAACTAAGGTAAATATTAAATAAAACCAAATTTTTAATGGGGAATTGATACAAAAACACTTTCATGTGACTGCTACATCACATCTATGTGATTGTGAGGTAACTACCTCACGTATTTGATAATCTGCACTCAAATAAAGATTATAAACCGATAGTTACGTTTAGTTAATTTCAAAACACTGCTATAATGACACAAATAAAAGGAAATAATTTAGAGTCACAAAATACTAAATTATTTGAGGGAATGACTACCACTTTTGTGAATAAAAGTAATCTCTAGGATAACTGTTACTTATCCAATATAGAAATTAAAAAAACGTATGTAGAACATTGGTACTGGAAAATGAACGTTCCTTAAGCCTGCCTTTTAAAAACTTAAACAAAAGTGGACACTGACAATCAAATACATGAAACGCCATTATCAACTTTAGATAATTAAGTGATAAAATATGAAAGCATAACACGGGTAACTGGGAGAATAAAAAGTGTGATGAACTTCATCCATGATCATAGTAAACTTGGAAACTTCAGATAAAACATATCTACAATGCTATTTATTGACAAATATGCATACAAACAGCAGTAGAGATGGGGTTTATTGGTCTTAACATTCCAACTTAGAGGCAACTGGCTTCAGGTTCAAACTCTGCTCCCCTTATTCAGCTGAAACGATCAGGTAGTATTATGGGTCCTAACAATAAATAGGGTTCATAAACTAATACAAAAACTTGTTCAATTAAATTTTGAGGGGGTTGTGGAGATTTGGAAATATTTCAAGTTGTTATTCATCGAAGACTGACATCAGTTGGAGGTTTCCTTTGTTCCTCCAACTGATGTCAGTCTTCGATGAATAACAACTTACAAAAACTTGTACCGAGTTCAATTGTGTTTTACCTTAAACTCCCGTCACGTTGTGAGTAGACGCTAAATCTAGAAAACAGCTTTCGAGGACTGAGTATGTAGAAATTGCAGGGAGAAAAAATAAAACTTATAACTAAATCCACACCGCAATGATTCCCTAAGACAAATACTGTTAACATAAAACGTGGCATACTCTGAAATGGGTATCATGCAGAGTTAAAAAGATGTGGTACCAGTCACATGATAATTTGTTTTTACCTGAGTACAATTTGGGTCACAAAAGATAACCAATTTTCAAATGAAATCATATAAAATTGCCTGCTAACGGGAACTCACAAATATATTGGAAATATCACCTATACAGACATAGTAGGCATCAGCGAAATACCTTAAATCATCAGCATTTTGATTAATACTTCAACGTATATTTCCAACATTTTGGGGGGATGACATAGCTAACGATACACTTGCACAAGCTAGCTAAATAGACAGATAACAATGAAGATTCGGATCTCACAATACGTATAACCATTTGGAGACAATAAACACCACAGTATAACTGTGGAACACGTACCCGACTTGTAATTACTACTTGTAACCACTGGGTACTTCGATCTGCGAGACCATAATAGTATCACACACCAAATGTGACCCAGATCATTTCAAAAGCTTCTAAGCAGTGGCATAATTAATTGAATCTAATAAATCCACTGAGCCATAACAGTAAAAAAAGATCACTTTAGAACTTTTATCTTATAAGACAGTGATAGTAAAGTTATAAGCCAACAGCATTGCACTCAGACTTTTAGGTGTGGAGATTTCTGACCACTGTAACCAAGTCAATAGTCGCTATTTGAGGCAAGCAGATTCGGGACAAAATACATATAAATCAAGAATCCTAAGTGTGAACCACATAAAATAAAATGTTTAAAAACGTAAAATTCACTAGGAGCGCATAAGAAAGATTACCCTCGCTAAAGGTAGCAAGAAGACAGCCCCACCAGTATCGTCACAATACTCCATATCTGGACCACGATTATTGGGTAGCAAGTTCATGGTGGCGCCTGATTTCCATTGTCTGATATCAAGAAGGCGCGAAAAATGTAGACAGAAAGTAGAAGAAGATCAGTGTTTTATAAAAGGAAAAAGTAATATTAAACAAGTAGATTATAATAATTGACACAGCAATCAACTTACTTATTTCTGGAGCACGGTAAAAACGTGAAACAAGATAAGGGGTGATATCATTATCCTGTATGGTAGATGCTGATCCAAAATCAGACAACTTAAGCAGGATCTTGCTCTCATTCACAAGTATATTATCGGGTTTTATATCCGCATGTAGAATACCACACTTGCGCATCAGCTTCAAAGCCAGCAGAAGCTGTTGCGTATATGAGCGTATGGCGGCAATATGCAGCCCAATATTACGTCCGTATTTCTTTAGAACCTCACGCAGATTAAGACTCATCAACTCGAATACCATGCACAAATGATTTTTATGGAAAAAGTGACGATAAAGTCGCAGACAATGGAAGCGATCTTGAGGATCGGCATCATTGAGTTTTTTCAGGACCTCTAATTCCTTCAGACCTGATTTGTGCCTAAACAGGAGTGAATTCAAGTGGGATTGAACAAAACAATACAATTAGCACACCACCAACGAAATTTATCAAGCTGCACCAAAATTACTAGACAAGCAACAAACAGCCTAATGGTATACTCATTTTCTACACTTTTCCCCCAAAAATATTCGACATTTAACCTTTCGAAAATGAAATAGTCGTTGTAACTTACATTACATCATTGTTCCTTATTATCTTGATTGCCACCTCTAAATTACCACGAGCACTGTCCCTTGCTCTAACGACGTTGGAAAACACTCCATGTCCAGTATATCCATACACGGCATAGCGTTTATCCAAAACCTCACCAATGCGAACACCTAAATATTAAAAACTTTTTTAAATTTATCAAGTACGCGAAACAGAAACACCTACATAAAGGTCGCAAATGAACAATCTCTAAACCTATACCATTAGTTAATCTTTATTTATGACAAAAGCAATCTTGATGCAGAAACGATGATCAGAAGACATACTCAAACTCCATACCACAGATCTGAAAATTCTTAGATCAAGAAGGAGACTGACAAAATACAACGCAATATTTATCAGAATTTATATTAGAGTTGTGAAAATCTACAACAAGTTTCCTCAAAGATTAAAAAACTTTATATGGGGAAAACTTCGAAATGCTTACTAGTTATTATGATGATGAGATAAAAAGTCGTAAAAATAGGATAAGATGCAAGCGAAAACTGAAAAACTTACGATAATAACCTTCTGCATCATCCCAATTGTCAGTAAGAGCATGGTTTTCTGAAGCCATAGCACCCAATGCCATAGTTCCCGGGGCATGATGTAGCTCAACCTCGAATTCCTCAGCAAACATATCAAACGTAGTTTGTTTGGAATTATCTTTAGCAACATCTGATTCACCTTTCCGTTTGTCGTGGAATAGCGCCATTGCAGCTGGAGCCAGAACACCGGATAAACGACCGCTTGGTGAATTTGACTGATCTAAAAATACATAACATATGACTGGGCATGTTCTAACGACATACATGTCTTCGAAAAATTAGTGGACTCATAATGATGACCAACCAAAGACAGCTGATCACATACCCGTATCAAAAACGCATCTGGGCTAGTTTCCTACGCAATCACACGCACATGCCATCAGCAGCATCCACTCACAACTAATCAGCACAAAATCATTCCCAAAGAGCCCAGTCAGCAAAAGCCTATTCCTAGTCTTCTAGAACCACACCGTCAATTCTACATTGGAGCTTCCAGTGTTTGAGACCTATACTGAGAACATCTGATGTCTTATCGAAACTCTGGAATCGTAAGCCATGGATAAATCCTCCTTTTGCGAGACGCATACAGGATAAGAGTATGGCTATTCACTTGATCTGACCTAGTAAGTGTCATAAATCTGAAAACTCACTTTACGACTGTCAGTAGATTCAGTGGATTCTGTGAACTTGCTGGTAGAGGTACTGCGTAAAGCTGTGAAGCGGACAATGCATTTCTCAACTTGATACCAATTAACAACCAACTATGTGCTGTCCAACAATGAATTTACAAGAACTTGGTTAGTAAGTGAATAGCAAAAGGGAGAACTGTTATCAGTGCGTAACGGTTCCCAGTGTCGCACCTCATACCAGAATATCAAACGAGAAAGGCACTAAGAAATACAGAGAAATAAGGAAGGAAGAAGTCAAAGTGGTAGGAATTCATGAAAAGAGAACAAGAAAGAATGAGAAAATAGTGGAATTCGGAATGACATAAGATGAAGATAATGTTTGGATACATCTGTGTCATTGAGATGGGTCAGCTAGAACCTTAAACCACTGATTTCGGCTAGAAATCTAAAACATGATGTTCAGTAGTTTCGATTTATGTTTTCTCAAGGTATTAGGCTTTATGACCTCTTGGGCCGCATCCAGGTAGTCTTCAGGAACCAACAAATGTCAACTTATCACATCCTTTATCGCACTGCACTTTGTCATACACTGCTCCATCCAGCAAATCTCGTCACCGAAAAACGAATGATACAAGAGCTGCTAGGAAATTCTTCACTCTTGTAGACGCTTCAGAAACCGGTTTTAGATGAGTTCATTCAACAAATAAAGTAGCGAGTTTACCGGGTGCGATGAATTCTTTGAACAGCAATGATTGAACACGTAGAGTTGGCATATAGTGTCAGCTTGGAGGTTAGGTTTGATAGATATGAATCTGGACCCTATGGTATTGACGTATTGTTCACTCGACTTTTAACAGCTAGACTGTTGGGACCTGCTTCAAGTCATTCAGACTAATTTACGCCGCTCTGTTTCGATATTCAAGTGGTAATGTACGCACGATTACGCGTTCCACTGGTCTGAAGGAACCGACAGGTGTCAATTAGTTCTGCGGGACTTATGAAGGCTTTGATAAATAAGAATCCAGACAAACGTCTTGATGGCTTAACTGCAGCGTTTTATCACAATAAACTATATGAAAGCTGAAATACTGCCCGGACACCATGAACAAAACTACTCGTCGAGTCTTTTACTTCAAGTTTTGATCTACAAGGCGGTGTGGCAACAAATTCTGCATCACTATTTGCAGATGGTCAAAGTAGGCCTATACGTCAGTCGTAATCGATGATTGGAAACGAAGTGATACTGTTCAGAAGTGACTTCAATAGCCCAGGTACATGCATATATTATTATCCCAATCGTCACTCGTTTTACTCATTTTTAGTTTACGACTTTTGACATTTTTTTCTGTCTCGCTGTTTTTCATCTCTGCTTTGTATTTTGACATTTTGATTGAACATGTGGCAACTAGGACCATCATACAGTGATGTTAGGTGTCACGTCGATATTCATCGACTGTCTGTTATCTGTTCCTCATTTTAAAACCGGTGTGCACAAGTGGTTTGTTGGGACCGGGGTTTTCTGGCTCCACTAATCCAGTAATAAGTACTTTACATTCGTTTTTGTTCTCAAATCTTGTGAGGAGTCGTTCAACGTTAAGGTAATGGGTAGAACTTCCTTAAAGGAGGCTGTGAACACATTACCGTATGTGAGCCTTTTCAGGAAACAATCAAGCACATCCATTTCTTGGCGCTAAATGAGCATTTGATTGGCAATCGTAGCCTAAACCAAAAGTCACTGGGAGAGATTACATGGTACAACCTGCAGTAATGTTGCCTCAGTATTACTTCAGCTTATAAGGTAAGTGGCAAACTATCTTTAGGCTTCTGACAGTCTAATCAATAACACAAATTTGTTTATCTGGAGATCTCAGGCATTCGTGAGAAAAAACGCGATTTGCCTTGAAAATAATCACTCGATAAGAGTGCAGAACAGGTGGACGAATATGAGTTGTAGTGTGTGGAAGTTATTCTAAACACTTCATTGGCGTCATGCATGCAAGACTCAACATATATCAGTAGTTCAAATCAGACCTGCCTGTTTGATCTAAACCAAGGTTTTACCGTTAAAGGTCTCATACTTAGACAGTGCGTGCTTTTAAAATAGTTGTATCAGATATGACGTTAACCTCCATCGACCGAGGTGGCTTGACCATATGTTGCAAATGCCGAGGCACTACTAACATCGACGCACGGTATTAGCCGAAGTAGGATTGAGTTGGAAGGCTGAATCGTCAAACCAAAATGTGGTACCAGTAACGAAATCCCTGATTGTTGATGTGTATGGTGCACGAAGGTGTAGGGTATCAGGTCGTGGTTCTCGAAACACCAAAAATTAGCAGTTGAAGAGTTTTGGCGATACGTTTATAAATTGGTCACAAAGGTTTGAGGCACACTTTTTTTATCATTTTACATATTTTCGACATTTTCGTTGACCATCTACTTATCCCTTATCCTTTCAAACACCTTTGACTCTAGAAAGATAAACAGACAAGATCAACATAGGTCCAGGAAGTAGTGTAGTGGTCCAAGTTGTTACACCTAATATCAGCACAAGCGAGAAGGCACCAAAATGAAAGATAAAGAAACATAGAAGAAAGCAGTTTTCACTTCTATGAGTGAGGTAATATGGACCGCTGAACCTGTCAGCTAGATTTCATGTGGAGTACACTGGTTGTCTGCATAAACGTATATCGTTGAAGTTAATAATTCAATACTGGCATCTGTATTTCATCCAGTTTTCAAACACTCATATTTTACACTATAGGAACTACAGACACATAAGATAAAAACTATTTCGATGACGAGATGTTTTCGCAATACATTTGGAACAGATAAACAAATGGTATTCAAAAACTCAGTTCTGTGAAGTGAAGCTCGGAAAAGATGAAACTACATAATCCAGTATAACATGCGAATGACAAACTATTGAAAAAAAATAACCATCATGAAAGCAAATACCATTTAGGAAATTTAACCTACCTGAATTATTGGTTGGAGCTGCTTTAATACACTCTAACTTGGCCTGCACAAAACTTTCAAAGTCAAAGTCTTCTGTGTCCTCAAATGCACCCATGTCTGTTAAACTGTCAACCGGAACTACTTGAGAGTTCAAATTTTTTTCATCTCTGGAGGTTGTGATGTCACTTTGATTTTCTGTTTCTAACTTCTTTAAAAAGTGATTCCGAACATAATATTTATGCAAATACTAACTTCTAATAACTTTTGTCGCTCTAACCGTCTTCGTCTAATAATATCCTCTTCATCTTCTTCATTTTCAGCCAGCAATAAAGATTTGTCTCTTAACAGATATGAGGGAAATTCATAACTTACTCATGCTTTGACGTAAATTTATGATTATTCTCGGCATGTTTCCGAGACTTGCGTGACTTTTTCTCGCGATGAGATCGCTTGTGCTCACGATGAATTTCATGACCGGGACTACGGTGCTTCGATTTTTTGTGGTGCCGACTGCATTCTTCGTGTTCGTCATGTGATTTTGGATATCTATTTCGATAGTTATTATCATCGTATTTATCTACATATCCGGAATGGTTGCTAGGTTCTTGATAACGATAATTAGAACCATAGTGATAATCTGACTCATCCCGATGAGATCGACGTTTCCGATCTTTGTCTTCACGATGATTCTTAACGGATAACATTGATAGCCTAAAACGGGGGATGTCTGATTAAAATAAAAGTAAATTATCTGGAAATCAACTACGCCGACGGAACTGATATTTTCCAGCAAACTTCAAAAATATAACCCGTGAGCGAAGCGTTTTCTTGTTCTCATTCAAGTCACACATCTACATCACTTCTATCCTGCAGAACCACCACATTAACAATGAGAGACGTGTCATGCATCTATTAACAGGTGGTTAAATCGTTTGCTGTGTATGCCTGTCTACCAAATACTTCAGTATAAAATCGAACAAAAATATTTCAAACTGGTCAAACGGTAATTAGATTATAACTAGCAGCCTAAACTACAGCAATCACAAACGAATCAAGTCGTAGATGAGTCATGGACAATATTTGAAGGTGCAATTTATATTGATGACCACATTCTTTTAATGTCTCAGAGAAAACACTGCAGGTGCTGACACCAGTGACTTTGAGCACACCGAACTAATTCATCAATGTTACTGACAAAGCACAATATGGTATCTCAAGCCGGAATTTATATAAAAAAAAGTTGATGTCCAATCAAATCCGAAATCTGTGACCCACTGGATGAGTCACCTTCCTAAAACGACGAGCCACAGATCCACACTAAAGTTGATAACTGGAGACTAAGTGATAAATCTCAAAATCGGTAACGGCCTATTCATCTGTCCTGCATCCTTATAGCGTTTTTTCTTATGAATGCCTGAGATTTCCAGATGAAGAGGAGATTAAACAGCATCCATTTTAACGTTATCAGATGTCGGATAAGCACATGACTCGAGATTAATCCACGATAATCATGAGTCTGATGGGTAAACTTGATTTACTACACACCCTTCAGGATAAGAATGACAGGGTTCTTCAGAAAATATTTGCAGCAAAGTAAAACTAAATAATATAAAGCCCGTTGCAGCAAACAGGTCTGTATGTGGTCGTTATTCAGGGAAAGCCCCGACTTTTAAGGCACGAAAAAGTCAAAATGCATTTAGCAACCATGTACAACCATGCAGCAGTACGCCTGCCATCTGAGAGCTAACGATCTTATCTGGCTGTTCATATCTCGTACGCGAGCGGTATTCGAACCTGTGACCCATTAGTTGAAAATCAACCGCCTGAACCAGTTAGCAATCTCCAACTCAGATGACGTTGAGGATGCGTCGCTAGCATCCTACGTGATCAAACCGCAAGACTTGACAGAACTACCGGGCACACTGCACCCCAACCGGATGATGTTAGAACTCTCATGTGATACCCAAGAAACTTACCCTACGGATAAGCTGATAGTACAGGAAATATTTGAAAACCTATGTTCCAAAGATATGTACTGCAATTACTTTAAAAATTCCTAAAAAAGAACAAATACTACGAGCTTAGCAAATCAGGTCTTATGGATACCTAAATAGGGCGACAACCCAAGACTAAGGTTGATCAGTTTCCGTCTTCCAGATGGCACCATCCTAAGAACTGGTACCCGAAGCTTGTATGCACTCTGATAGGTCACAAAACGAATGTTCACAATGAGAACAGAAAATATTGGACCTAACTGTCCCCTTGGTAGATTATTTAGAAGAAATGGGGTGGGGGGGGGCAAGAAAACACCGATAACCGTACCTAGACAGGTTTCTATACCATATACTTGAGGACTCGCTCAACAAAATGGATGACACTGTGGCAACGGGAAATGTATTCAAAGTGGGAAGCACTAAGCGCATCTACGCAGATGCAGTTTGTTCAGTAGACACGATAACCATTGAAAATTCGGTAACGAGAGTAGTGCTATTCTAGTCGTTGCTAAAACATTTTGTTTGGTAACTACAATGCGTTATGGACGCTAACGAAGCACGGACATCGAGTGTCAGCCACTAACATTCAACAAATTCCTAGTTTATTTCCGACCTGACTAATTAGTGAAGACACTATGGACGTGCAGAAACGTGTACTGGGTCGAAAAGACCGAAAACATGAATAAAGGAAAATACAGCTAATATATAGATAGTTTGTTTTGCTATGGATGATGATGGTTATCTGCCATCTGTGCTTATCAATGTTTGTGAATCTATATCATCGATAAGAGTCACAGGATTGATATTAAAACAGCTTTACAATTTTGTATAGAAACTGTCAGGGGTGTATACTTAAGATAGTTTGTTGTTTACGATAATCCTATTGATTGGTTGATCCGCCGTCTAACTATAGAAGTGATAACATAAAGTATATTTTGATTGGTTCCTCTTTAGACTAGTCGTTTCTCTGTATCTCCGTATTAGATTTCTCCTCATTACTTAGATTACGTTAGGTGTTGCTAATACTATGCTGTTTCGCAACGAAAGGGGAGCTAGTTAGGAGGTAGGTAGCTACTTAGGTCAGCTCTATAACAGCCCACCAAACCCACAGTTACCGATATCTTAATGAGCTTATTCGGTGTTCTATAGGGCTGTTTAAAACTACTAATTGCTTAGTCGTTTGTAGGAAGAAATGTTGCCATCCTAGACTAGGATATGAACACTTAAAATTTCAGATTTTTGTTTCCACAAGGTTTATTATGTAGATAGTGCATACCACGCAAGGATCGACTCCGTAAGTCTGTTTCTCTAATCATGTTGGGCAACTGAAACCGATGCAAAAAGGTCAAGAGCACGACGAAAGAACACCTATGCCCCAGTGTGCAAAAACTGCATCTCCACAAAGTTGTGCCGTCACTTTATGAAGGAATAAGGGGTTGTCATATGTCGGTTATTAGCACGAACTTAGGAAAGAGTACTCTTGTACTACAAACTAGCTTAAAGAACCAGCGTTATTAACCATGGAGGCAAAATAGACATTATTTTTGACTTCCTTAAAGCGTTTGAATGTGCTGAACATGAGTGTCTTGCAGTTAACCTAAAGCTTATCTGGATCAGCCTACCCCTTACTAACTGGCTGTGGTTTCCATGTGGTCACTTATTTCAAGTTCTGTCTGAAGAGAATGTTCTAAGGCAGTTTCACTGCCCACTACTGGGATCTTTTTTCAACATTCATGAACGCTATGCCTTAAATTTTTAAAACCTTTTTGGTCAGAAATGTCAAACAACGGAGAAAAATTCGATAGGATGCAGTTTCCCTAGAGGGAGATTTAACCGTTTCAAAAGCGGGTAAATAGACTCGTGTTTAAGAAATCAAAGGTGATATGTCAAGGACACGAAACGTGTTTGGCTTAGTTTTAATGACATGAAACTAGAAGCTTCACTGAAACGGATTAGGATGTTTCATCCCGAGGACCTGAAGTTTTGACCTCGGTAGAAACGTATTTCGTGTCAACCTGGTGGCATTACTTCAGAATTCCTGAACATTTCAACTGCAGACGTTCTCATCTGGTTTCATAGTCTTGAGACCATAAATCCTCTCCCCACCTAAACTTAAAAAGGACAAAATTATTCTAGAATGGATCCAGAAGCGGTAGACCAAATCTGCTCAATAAGAATAAAATAATGAGGAACCGCTAATGGAGCTTAGCCCTTGTCCTGTTGAAAAAACAGACTAAAATGCAGACTAAATAACGGTATGGAATACGCTGGACACCACCCGCCGATTCAACTTGTTGCAACACATTTTATAAGGTGCACGCGTGTCAGGCCTTGAATACAGGTAAGATATCAGGACCAAATTAAATTACTTAGGACTACATTTTTTGAATGCTTTCATTGATGTGGCCCAGACCATTTCGCCCATACGTATTAGATACCGAATATGCACGACATAGGCATGGGTTGAACTGTTACTTGCTTTTTCTTGCTAGTAGTAATGTTTTGTCTGTCTGGTATGCACATTGGTTAGCAAGCGAAAGGAACTGACATTCACTGCTTCTTAACACCGAAGTTAACTGAACGGAAGCCTTTGCCAACCATGTATCGATCCACTACAGTTAAAATAAGCTAATTGTATAAAACTGAATGCCTTCTAGATGTCTAGCGACCTCATTTGACTGCTAAGTACTCGAAAACTTCAACCCTAGTACATTAAAAACGATGAAAATCGACTTCGTCTGGCCAAAAAGAACATTAAGCCATAAATCTGACTTGGGGCCAGATGAAATGCACATAGGGTCAAACATAGGGAGATTGCTTTGGTCAGGTCAAGCGTGGGGTGAATGTGGCTTGTGAGACGAACAATAAGACATCTGATCTCTTGTAAAAATCTCAGGACCAGAAGGCCAAATTTGCCGAAATTGGGGTCAAATGCAGAGCCAAAAAGTAGGGCTGCCCTAGGGTAAAGTTTTGGCTCGGCGTTTTCTGTAGTAGCTGACCACTGTCCCATTTAGCCCGACGAAATTGTTTACCAGCAAAGTTTGACGGCAGAGTACATCTGTTTTCGCTGCATTGCGGCATATAACATAGGAGCATAATCTTTAATAATAAGTGAGAGAGTCAACATTCTACATTTTTTGCAGTCGAACCAAACTGAGAATTCTAGGAATGAAAAAAGAATATTAAGTACTCCAAATATTCAGCGACGTGACCACTAGCCGATCAAAAACTACTCAACTTATTAGAAACTAAACAGGAGTTATTAAAACCAAACTTTAATGACTTGCTAGACATCATGTAAATTGAAGCGTCTATGCAAACTTTATTGAGGCAGTCTTACCTCGATGAATCTCCCATTGTCAAAACTGGTGGCGTCACGAGCAGTCGAAGCACTAAAACAAAAACATCAGATAATGCTCCATTTTTGAATTCCTCACTGAGTTGGCATACTGAAATGGAATTCATTTTCAGATCTAAGTCCTTCTTTTTGAAGGTTGAACTAAATTTAAGTGGCGGGAAATATTGAAGAGAAAAATCAGGCTGAATATGTTCGTTACCTCTATTTGCCGTTTTGTTGACGCGATACGGATCTGATGAAAATTGTTGGAGAGGATAGCGTGTCTGAAGTAGATGACGAAATAGATGAAGTTCTCAGGTAAAACAGTTTAATAAATAGTAAGCAAGGTGCTGTTCCCCTGAATAACAACTTTGTCTTCAATATTCTTGATTCTGATTAGCGAGTGCTTTCTTGAGAGTGACTTGCCATCGCCAGTGTCTAACTGAACCTTTACAAGATGCATTTAGTAGCTTACAGTGCAGCCTACTCGACCCACATCTGTAGTTATAAAACAGAGATCTCTGTTTGGTTGGGTTAAATATCACCGTGCAGAAGTCATGGCGAAATTGGATAAGAAAATGAGGCAGCGCATTAGAGGAGTTCTAGATTTGAATTTTCTTCAGGTTTTCATAATGCTTGATTGCGACTTTCCTCAGCTCTTCAGCCCTAAACGTTTATCGAATCGTGTAATTGTCACCCGAAGACTACTTGACAGATTACCCTGGGTGCATAAAAGGCAAGCCAATCTGACCAACATTTGCTCACCGCTTATCCCAGTAAGGCATCAAACTGGCCTCCATATCCACCAAAAACAGAGTCGTCATGCTCCCGTCACCCTAAAAATTTCCATAAAGTAGGCTCCTATATCATCAGAAAATATTTCTAATTATTTACCGGGCGGGCACCTAATAGGAAAACAGCCTTCGGCAGCACGTCTTTATTCCACTCTGTTCCCTGCAATCCTTCCAACCTGGCACCATGACTGCTCGCAAGCTATCATTTCTTCCTCACACCATCCCCTCCATGTCACCCTTAGACGCCCAACTCGTCGTTTCCCACTTGGGTTTCTCTAGAGGACCCGGCACATGATGTCCCTGAATGGTCTTATTAGTTAACAGTTTGGAGAGTCCAATTCCATTCCATCTGCTTTCACAGATTCCCGACACTTCTATCCTAT